AAGAATGTTCTATATAATAGTTTCATTCAGTACCTTTTCTTCTTTCTCTCAAGATTTGGGATTTCATCCAAGTTCTAAAGGTTAAGTTGTCAATAGAACTCAAAGAGTGTTTTGTTTCCATTTGTATAACTAGTTTAATGTTTTTTAAGTCCTCGGCGTATACCAACAATGGAATCAGTCAGTGACAGGGAAGCTTAGCAGGACATTCTTAAAGTTCCCTTCGCAGCAGCAAATAATGCTGAAACTAATTCAGGAAAAGAGCAACTCTCTGCACTGAAGGAGTTATTTTAATTAGTGCTTAGCATAGGATAATAAATATTCAAATACCTATGTAGTGTTCCAGCTTCAAGATTAGAAATTTCGATGAACATGCAGTAGGAGAACAAAGTCCATGGTTCAATCAGTTTAATAATTACATTCTGTCTCCTTGTTAAAGCTTCATGAAATTTTCATGAAACATTATCAGTGTCTGAAAAAGCAAGTGCCATGAATTTTATTAGCTGAACCCGCAGGTTGAAATGCTGTAGACAGACACTTGAACCAACTACAGTAATGAATAGTTGAACTATTGACTGTTAGTTATTAATTTCTGCACTTTCAAAGGAGAAGTGATTGAGAGATACTGGGGTTTTTATGTGTTTGTGTGCTTTTAGTGATATAATGAAAGATAAAATCTTACTCTTTCCAACTGTTGAAATGAACAGTGTAAATGAAATCAATAGCTTGCAGCTTTAAGCTCTTCCGCCTAATAGCCATTTTCTCTTCATATGTATATACCGTGCACATGATCGTTTGCAAAATGTTGTTAACATTTTGGCTTTGAATAAGGCAGACTTTTTCGCTTTCCTGATTAACGGCGAATAATGTCCGCAGATAATTAAAATGCTGAAGCTTGAACATAATACTCCCCAGCTGTGGCGGCTGCCCAGCAGGGTTGTGCCAAGGGTATGGTGGGGTCCCCTGGGAGCTTTGGGGCAGCTGTAGCCGGGGCTGGCTACGCGAGCCGACTCTGGAGTGCCCGTGAGGGCTGTGAGAGTGCCCGAGAACGGGCGAATCTCTTCCCTTTAAGAGAGGGAAGTTGTTACAGTTCTTCATACTAAAAACCTAGTAAAGCATATGCTCGTTGATGTCTATTTTTGGTATAAAATGAAAATATTGCTGTAGATTTCTGTTAATCTTTCCCATTCTTCCCTCCTCTGTCAGAAACCAGTAGACCACGACTGAGCACGAAGCAGAGGGACGCTAACCCAGCCCTCTCGCAGTTCAGGCTGTTCTGGCTTCAGGGGGAGGAGCGTCCTGGCTCTGCCCTCCTGTTTCCAAACCTTCTCCTCCGTTTGGTTTGGACCAGCAGCTGTGGGGCGGCCGGCACAGTCAGATCAATCTGTTAATCTGGCTGAAATAATCAGCAAGGTTTGTTTCCATAGGTTCAGCGAGTTGGCCAAGGTGTTCGAGCATTTCGCCTTGCCACCGCGTGGCTGTTGGGGGTGATGCAGAGGGAACGGCGAGAGCGTGCCGTGCCGGGTGGGCCACCCCTGTCAGCAGCAGGGTGGCCATGGGAGGTTCTGCTAGCCAAGTGTCCGCTACCTGCTTGTGGTGTTTTAGTGCAATCTACTGGGATTGAATTGTGACCTTAAACTGCTCCATGTATTGTTTGTGATTTAGAACCACAGAAAAAATAGAACAGACTTTAAATGGGTTTTTGTTTTATTTGCAACAGCCCAAGTGTCCCGTGGTCTGCCGCAGAGGCTTAGAAACACGAGAAGCATCAATATGTTAGTCAGGTCACCTGTGCTGAACAGCAGGGAACACACTGCAACTGCCTGACTTTCCTGCCTCAAAGTATTGTCCAGTGAAAGGAGAATCTTCGCTATTTGTCAGGTTTCCCGGCACTCTGTACCGTACGCCTGCGGCGGGGCCCTGGGCACGGGCCAGCGCCAGAGGAACACTCTGTGTCTGTCCTCAGCCAGCCATGCATGCCAGCCATGCGTGCGCCCATAGTCTAACTCACCCTGTCTAGGTTCCTGTGGCTATTTACAAGAACTTGTTATTTATCACGTATCTTCCTAGAGGAGATGGGACTCATCTAAAAATTAAATGTGCATTCCACTTGTGTGTCTGAGAAAGAAGGTAATAGCGTTCTTCTTTGAGTACCTGGACGAGAACAAGACCTGTCAACTTTTCTTTGTATCATGTTGGAAAACGTCAGGCTAATGGAGAAATACTTGTTCTGCAGGTAGTATTCATTTTTAATGCGGTTGTTACCAGTGATAAAGCCACAGAAGAAGGATCTGATAAATATTGTCTGCAGGGAGTGCCATTTTTACCCATTATTTCCTAAAATTATTTTTGTGACTTCTTGTGTCTTCACAAGATAGCCTAAAGAGAGGCTGTGCTCCTTCAGCTTCTGTTCATCTGTTTTAGTGCTCACTGTATGAAAATGATTTTTTTTATGTCCATTTAACGGTGTGAAAGGGTGTATGTGTTTGGGAGAAGGAACTCCCAACCTACACTAATTTCTAAATTAGTGATTACATGATTTCTAAATATGCCAGGCACTCACAGTGATAGCTGAAGTCACTGGACGCTGTGTTTTGAACACAAAAGCGATACCTGTTTTGTAAGGTCAGGGCGTAGGTGTTTCAAAGTGCTCCCTGAAATTACTGGATACTTCTAAATATGTTGTACCCCTGATCTGTAGAAGAGGGATGGCCTTGCAAAACTGAATGGAAATCTCTGAAGTTGCAGTGTGATGATTCACTCATTGTCTTTTAAAGACGGGTTGTTACATCTGTCACTAGAACAGCGTTTAGGAATTTTGCAGTAAATACAGGGCGAAGCTGCATGCTGGATAAAATACTTAATAACATGTCAGTAACTGAGCCTTCGAATAGTCAAACACACTTGGTAAGTAAAACAGGCACGCTCTGGGAAAAACAGTGTGCGATTAGGTAATGAACAACAGTATCGCAATGCACAACCATGAGAGGACCAAAAGAAGCTAACAGCGAGCATGTTATTTTGGTTCATTGTGTTAAACTTTTAACATTCCTTTTTGTGTGTGTGTAATGTAAACATAAGCTAAAAGAAAAGACTTAGGCAACTGCAAACCTAGTGAAATTGCTGCTTTGTCTGCACAGTCTGGCATGTAAACTGTCTATGTTGATAAAGATTTTTCTCCAAACGTGTTCCGTGTGGGTTCATGCCAAAGTAAAGCTCTGTCTTTAACAAGATGTGGTTCAGATCGTAATTTAACTCAGTCCCATTTCCACTTAAGTGTGCATTTAACACAGCTATGAACCAGTGACAAGCCATAAAAATTGGGCTACCCTGCTGAAATTATTGCGTGATCTTCAACCTTTACATTTTTAAGAGAAGTGACCATCTCTTCATGTGTTTGGAAGGTAGTTCCCATGCTGTGGGGACTGTTGCAGTCTACTTAATGAGTTGTAGTCATCAAATGCACAGGCGGGTGCATGATGTTAGGACATGGTGCTGTAGTTTCTGTAAAGTCTTTTCATTTTGTGATGAGAGGCAGAACTTGGTTCTCAAAACTTTCCAGTCTGTGGTGAGAGAAAGGGAAGAGGAGCGTGGCACAGGAAGGGGAATCCGACAGCATGCTACAGGCAGAACAGTGCCTGTAGGCAGAACAGTTCTCATACAGTTACTGAACCACGTCCTGCCCTTCTATTCTGCGTATAATGGCCATGGAGAAGACAGAATATGTGCAAAAAAATACAAAATATTTGCAGATACACATTCATCTTCTGAAACTGAAGCTACTTGAGGTTGAGAATTTACTAACCCATTAGTATTTTGTTAATAATTGAGAAGAGTGCTTAATGGAGGTATCTGACCCCATCCCTACACAACCGGGCAGCACCCCTATACTCTTCCCAGGATACCTGTCCTTGCATCCACTGCCTGTGCGTTTCCTTCTTGCCCTTTGGCAAGAAGGAAATACCTCCTTGGAGGTATTTCACTGGTGTTTCCCTCTTGGATCCTACGACCTCAGGAGCCCGTGGCTTATCTCTGTAAGATATCAAGTGTACTGCAGTGTAGCCAGCATGTCCCAGGGCCACAGGCTGTGGGCCCTCGCTAGCACACCGTCCCTCTAACCTTGGCGTGTCGTCCCACAGCATGGCATGGGCAAGCCTCATATTGCCCCCATGCCCCCTCAAGCCCAGTTTAAAGCTCTGTCGTTGAGCCCCACTTGCTCCTCAGCAAAGACCCTCTTCCCCCTTTCAGAAAGGTGAATCCCGTCCAACTCCAGCAAGCATGGTGCTGTGTAGGCCATCCCATTAAAGAAAAACCCAAAACTGTGGTGGTGGCACCGGCCATGGAGCCATGTATTAATTGTGTGTTTCTTCCACTGTCGCTGCCCAAAACTGGGAGGAGAGGGGAAAAAATATCCTGTGCTCCAGATACCCTTACCAAGGCCCTCAAGTCTGTCTTGATTGCCTCTTGATTCCTTGTTTTCACAGAAACGGGTTCATGTGCGTTCAGGAGAAACGTTCACATAGAAACCCACTTCAGTTTAGCTGTTGCCCGTTGCGTTGTGAGGTTAGTCCTGTAGGCTCCTTCTGGGCAGGGAGCGAGTGCCAAAGGATCTGCGGGGCGCAGTGTCCCGAACCGGCCTGGCTTGTCTTGTGAGGGAGATGACACCAGCCATGGTGATGGCACTGGTTCCCTTCACCTCTGCCCTACGGCACCTTGCTATGTGATAAAAGACAGCTGCTGGAAAATAGGTGAGAGGTCTTTGTGTGTTTAAAGGTAAGCAAGTGCAACTGCTCGAGCCTACAGTTACCTGCTTGTTCAGGGTTCTTTTTAACCCACTTAATTTTGTGAATCTGGGTTGTGGAGCAGCCCCAGAAAACGGCGGCGTGGTGGGGAGGGAGACAGCGGGCAATGTGCAGGGACGGCGGGCGCTGGTGCGGAGCAGCCCCCGGGGGAGCCGCGGGCAGGTCTCTGCAGAAGGCCCCGTCTCTGGAAGGCATGACGACATGACAGCCCCTGGGGACGTGTGTGAAGAGTTCCTGCCTTGGCCGACCACTCCAGCTTTTGTACCAACCCTTACGTTGCGCTATGTTGATCCAGTATGTTAACAACTACTTTGACCAGGTCTCTGTTTAACCTGTACCAGTTTGCGGGTTTGAGTTGCTGTCCATAGCCCACACCAGGGGCACCAACAGAACTGAGGAGGTGGCAGAAGACGGGAACGATCAAGGTGCAGAGCTGACCATGATGTGTTTGGCCTCACACAGCGTACTGCAAAACAGGTGATGCCTTTAAACTCCACTGAGTCTTCACGATTTGGAAGGCTGAGTGCTTAGCACCCTTGTGAGTTAGGCCCCTACGCAGATGAAGGCATTAACAAAAACAAACATGAATTTTTCTTTGTTATTTCCACGAGTTGTCTTCAGGCTGCACTGGGGCCACGCCAAACCTGTGGTGGCAGTGAAGGCGGTGGGCTGCTTGTGTGGATCGTGGTCTCTCAAGAACCCTGCGCCAGCTGACTTGTGATTGCTTTGGTCAGGATCAGAGGGGGCCGAGATTACCAGCTCCTGCTCAGAGGTGAAAACCCACCGTGCCGTGCCGGGGAGCCCCACTGGGAGCGTGGCAGGGCCACCGGCAGAGCAGGCGTGAGAGGCTGCTCTGGTGGCTGCTGGGCGCATCTCTGGTTCATGTCAACGGATTGTTTTATACCAGTGTGTTTTACAGCAAGTGTCGAAGACACTGAAGGCCAATACAGCATTTCTCTTTCGCTGCCAGATCTTCCACGGTAATGGTTACTGGAGTACTGCGTGGCTTGGCTCTGGCTGTGGTTTTACCAGAAATGGCAGTGCAGTACCGTGAGCAAGCGCACACGATATGATTGGAGGTTGTGGCCCCGAGGTGACCTTCTTAGATTTGAAAAACTTTCCATCTGTATAAAAGTATATCTGCCACATCATGCCGCATCAAAGCACTGCGAGTGGACTCTTATTTGAGACAAGATTCCTCTTTGTCCCTGTTTGGTTTACAAGAACAGAGGGACGGGGCGAAGAAGTTGGGCAATGGTTTGGCTCTGCCTGGGGAGATGCGAGCAGATTTCCCAATGTTTAGCAACGGTGGTGGCGGAAGCGGGTGGCTGGACGCGCTCCAGCCCGGTGGGAGCCATGGCCCTGTTGGAGCAGTTAATGAGTCAGAACACGAGGGCTGTCGGTGCTGATGAGTCATCAGCTCCCCGTGTGCCCTGCAGCAGCTTTGCTTTGATGTGGCTCAGTCCAAAATCCACCCTCTGGGTCTGTGTGACAAAGCCTCGACAGAGGACCCTGTACAAGTACAACAGCGTTTGCCAAACTCTAAGTTTGTGTTATTTCAGGTGAGAGCACGCTCATGGAATAGTGTATTTCAGATCAGTTCTTTCTCCTCAGTTCCCCTTAAACCCTTTTTAGATGAGTAGATCTGAATTAACTAACTAGTACTAGAAAAAAGATGCAGTCTGAAAATAGAACCCACTGACATACATTTGTCGCTGGAGTTAGTACAAGCAGAAAGAGAACTAGTATACTTTGTGCTGCTCCTTGCTAATTTAAATGAGCTGAGCTGTCTTGGCAAGGCTGCAGTGGAAGTTGGGGATTAGAGCCTAGCAGTGAAAAAATGCAGTACCAGCAGTAGCTCAAATTGTGAAGAACATTGACATCTCAAAGTGGGAAGCAGACACCCGAACAGGCAGCGTTTAACAAAAGCCTAAGGTACAACAGGTGGAAGAGAACCCAGAAGTCCTAGCAGAATGCTGAGCTGTCAGATCCGAGCTTTGCTTTAACCTTTTTCTGCTGCGGGGCCACTGTTAGGGTACAATTTGCCACTGACTGAGCTTGTGCATGGCAGGACTTCATGGGTGTGATGCCGTGAGTGGGGCAGGTCGGGGCCATCATTTACGGTAGCATGTTCTGTGTCCTACGTGACAGTTACTCCATGTATCGCATTTGAGTTGTAAATATTTAACTTTGCTTGATTTCAGTGGGAACAGTATTAGCCCCCAGCTAAGTATTCTTGAAAACCTTATTTTCATCTGAAAAACTTGAAAGTGAGAATTTGAATGTGTGTTTGGGACTACTTTGTTATGTGCTTGAGTATAAGAATCGTATGAAAACAAGTCTTAAAAGTTCATTATATTTCTACACAGCAGTTCTCTCTACTTCACAGTGAAGCTTCAATGTTGTAGATTAGGCAAGTTATCTTTAAAGTTTGGGGCTCTTTCTCTTTGGGTTCCTAGACATGTAATGGAGACACTTACCTTCAAAATTTATAGCAAGGAACTGTTTCACTAGTTCTCTCCCAAACTCTTAGGCTGTCTCTTTGGATAGTGTGTGTAGATGATGAACAGAAAACGGCATGCAACGAAAGAGGTAATAATAGATATATAATAATAGTAGAATATAATAATAATAAAAGAGCAAATAATCAGAGATTTAGAGCACTCATAAAATTAGTCTTTTTCAGAATTGTTCTGACATTGAGTTTCAGCTTCATCTTTGGTTTAGCAATCAGCATACTTACAGAACATAGTACAGCATAGTACAGTAACATAGTTACATGTTACAGAAGTTTATTTACGTGTGATCAGCACTTTTTATTCAAACACATTTTTAAACAAAAGTCGTGTTATTGTTCCGTCTCCTGTTTTCCTCTCCCCCTGCTATTTAGGGGGAAAGAGGAAAGTAAAAATGACAAGGGAAATTGAAAAACATTACTTACATAACCTTGGAGCTATTTTATGAAAAACTTTTGAAAGTGAAAATGTTATTAACATTTACAGGAAATCATGCAAAAATTAAAAGCATAGACTAGCAATTACAGAAAAATACTTTTTTTCTTAAGGTGGAAACTCCTTACAACTTACAGAAACAGAATATAGCTCTTGGGAATGAATGAAAGGAAGATTTTTTCTGTGGTATTTATTAGTTTAGGCCGATTTGGTGTAACAGGTTATCTTTCTGTATAGATGCTGCTACACCAAAATTAAATGTGTAAAGCGATTTGTAACAACATAATTCCATTGATAAAGTGGGTAAAACTAGCGTAAACGTCAGTGCCTTAGGGGACACTTAGACTAGGGGTCCCACTCAGTGATACCTAATCGTCTGAGTGATCCTGAAAGTAAAATGCTTAGTCTGTCCAGAAGCAGCGTAACGCCGAGGTGCCGGGAGAGCTCTGCCAGGCGGGCACTCGTGCAGCACAGTTCGGCGATGGAGGCATGATTTCTGGCCTGTGTTTTTGCCGTTGTCTGAAGCTTTGTTTTCTGTCTCATTGTTGTAGGCTATGTGATGTATGCCAAGAAAAAAAATCCTCCTGGGATTAGTAGTTCTGGAAATAATAAAACAAGGAACAGATGGATTGGTACAATCCCAGATAAGGATATTGAGGGTTTTTCTCCACAGTGGTTTTCTTTCTTGTGTACAGGTACAGATTTCAGAGCTGAATAAATGGTCTTCATTACAATGACATTTCACACCTATGGGCGAAACGATTTTTTTCCAGAGTTGAAATAAGCAGCTGTAAAAGGGTGTGTGGTTTCACGTCAGAAGTGCTGCTCTTCGCTGCTCAGGCTCCGAATTGCCTCTCCCTTCCTCGTGCAACCGTACAGCTGGTTGGATGAGAGTCCAGCAAAAACAGAATCAGCAAAAGAGGAAAGAATAAGAAAAGAAAGAATAAGGTATTAGCCACAAGGGTTTGCTTATCCTGGTCTGTCCGCCTGCATGGCTGCAGGGTCGCTGCTGTTGGCCCCAGAAGAGGGATGGGAACACAGGGCTGGGGACGAGGGACCTTCCCTGCCAGCCCAGCATCCAGCCCGGAGCCAGGGGCTGCTCTTGCGTCTGCCTGCAGTGACGGTATCTGCTGTGGCTGCTCCACAGCGTGCACTATCCAACGCCGGTGATGGGGACGTGGGTGGGAGTCGCCTGTGGTGTGGGGACTGGGCACTGCTGATGGCCTTTGAACCGAGTTTGGTCATGAAGGTCCTGAATCTCAGGACAGCATTCTGCATTTTAGTGTTTGAAATCCGCCTGTAATGTCTAATGTATTATCCATTGGCCTTTAAGGAAAAAGAGGCTGTTCTTAATTGAATTTTGTCAGTTCTGATACCCAGGAGGCTGTAAGAATATAAAAAAAAGGCTAATTTCTGCCACTGCTAGATTTTCTTGTGTTCTCCTGTATAAATAAAAAGATGCTGGTCCAAAATCTGTAATCCCAGTAGAAATCAAATGCATTTCAGGTGGAATGAACTGGTACCCGTCTCTGCAAAGGTTTAACGTAACCTTTGCCGATAGCTGTGTGGAAGCAAAGGGGGGCATTTAGATAAGCAGTGGAAATCAGGGCAGGGGGGCTTCTCGGGCCCAAAACCAAGCCCTTTATTTTAGAATCTTAGTGTTGATTTTCAGGAGTTGTTGGGTTCTCAGTTCTGCTATCTTAGCTGTTAAATAAGCATTGTCTAACATTTAACAGCCTTTTCTTTAATAACTGGATAAAACCAAATTGGTTTAGCGGTCGTACTAATAAATTCTAGTAACAACCAGCCATTACTTGATCTTGAATCATCATATCAATGCCATATTTGAGGGTTCTGTTTCAGACACTCTGTCTGCGTGTTTTTTAATGAAGAAGATGTGTTTATAGACTGCCAGGGTGGCACCAAGAAGGGCAAGCGAGGCCACTCGTGGGTCCTGGCTGTGGCTGTGGAGGAGTTACCATGTTTACACAAAAAATTCCTGTGGTTTGGTTTGGTTTGTTTTAAATGCAGTTAAATTCTTTAAGATCTATCATCCTTACGGTTTTTGATCGATTTTTCAGTTCTTCTGTAACTTAAGAAACATTGCTGTATGGTTGTCATTGCCCCGCTTCTCACGTGTAATTGAAGTACAGATTGTTTTGTCTGTAAAAAGGATAAAAGAAAATTTGAACAAATCCAGTATTAGTTTTCAGTTACAGTTTCATGACTGGTTGCTTTGCATAGTGATTTGCAGAACATTTTTATCTTTTCTCTCGAGGTCTTTTATGTGAGAAGGGTCTTTATGAATCTGTTCACACTATTTAATATTTGTAGTTTGCAACTTTTATTTAAAACAAAAAAGGAGAAAATCTGCAAGGCAATAAAGATACATCCTAGAAAGATACTTACTTAGAAAATACTTCCTTATTTGATGATGGCAGATTATGTGTTTCTTCATGTTTTGTGCTGGCTTAATGCTGACTGCCTCACTGTGTCAGTAACTAAGAAAAGACACATCCTTCAGGGAAAGCAAATGGCAGAGCTGTTCCTCGTAATCCTTTGTAGGCAGGACATTGTATTTAAAAAAAACAAAACAAACAAGAAAGGGATGGAGAATTGTCTCGGGTACAATGTGGAAAAAAGCTCCTCTGTAGAAAGAACTACAGCTCATTTCATCCTAAACTGGTGATCATAAACCAAGTGTTTCCGCAGCGAGTGTTATGCCAAACGTGTTTCTAAAAAAGAAACTACTGGTTGACTCTCTGGCTTTTAAAGTGTGTTGAGGATAACATTAACATAGTACTGTTCTTAAGTTTTTTTTCAGAGTCATTACTTGGACAAGGTTTTGCTGAGCTGATGGTAATGTTTGCTGTCAACTGTAATGCTGAAGATTATTTTTAATTACTTCTGTTACCTAAACCCTGTATGATTTAAATATTTTTACAGTTTCAATAAAGTGAATCCAATGACCCCGTATTGAAAGTCCCAAGACAAAAGAATTCATAGTTCCTGCAACGGAGTGCCAACTCCCGCCTATCCCGGCCTCTCCCAGCCTCACGTCAGGGCTGTCCGACCCACCTCTCCCTGACGGACAGAAGACACGGGTCCTGGCCCGACCGGTCACAGCCCAACTGCACCGTGGGCCACCGCTCGTGCTTTCCCTGCTGTGACTGGACGCTGGGGCTGGTGCCAGGAGCGCCTGTGCGGCACAGCCCTGCGATGCCTGCAAAGAGGGTGCACGGCTGTGCCACGGCCGTCGGGCCATAACGGGGTACGCCTTGGGGCTGTCTCTCCTGTGCTGCAGCACACGGGCAGAACTCTGCCTGAGTGCCGGAGAAGGGAGAGGACAGCAGTGCGCCATGGTCTGGTCACAGCCCTGTGCAGGCGTCCGGATTTAAGGAGAGAGGAGAAGTCCCAGAGGAGGAGCAGCCACCCTCCACTGTCATGGGCAGCCCCGGCCCATCCCTCTCTGCCCTCCCCTCTCACATGTCAGTTGTGACATAGCCATGACACCACCAGGGCTCCTTCTAGGAGCTGGTGGCTGTCAGTTGTGACATAGCCGTGACATCACAAAGGATGCTTCTAGGATCCAATGTCTGTCTGTTCTGACATAGCCATGACATCACAAAGGCTGTTTCTAGGACCTGGTGGCTTTCGGTTGTGACATAGCCGTGACACCACCAGGGCTGGTTCTGGGAGATGGTGGCTATCTGTTCTGACATAGCTGTGACTTAACAAAGGCTGGTTCTAGGAGCTGGAGACTGTTGGTGGTGATATATCCATGACATCGCTAGGGCTGTTTCTAGGAGCTGCTGTCTTGTCTGTTGTGACGTGGCCATGACTTAACCAGGGCTGGTTCTAGGGGCTGGTGGCTTTCTGTTGTGACATACCCGTGACATCACCAGGCCTGGTTCTAGGAGCTGTGACATACCCGTGACAGTGTTGTCCCAGCTCTGGGTTCTTTACCCGGCGTGCACGTCAATAACACACAGAGCCGAGGGATTTCCACATTAATTCCATTAATGCACAGAAATGGGACGCTCGTCCCAGAACAGGAGCACACCTTAGTTTCACAAATCTCCACTTTTATATGTTGATTATTACATATTCAAACAATAACTACATATTCATTGTTATTCTCTTTAATAATTGGTCGAGATGTCTTCGATTCCTATGTAAATTAGCGCGCAGACTCTGTCGTCTTCTTCCATTGTTCTCTTTTGAGTAGGTGGTATCATTTGTGTCGGTTGTCAATGAGTCGGTGGTTGCGATCTCCCACTGCCGAAATTCCCTTTTACCTACTTATCCTCTGATCTTGGCAGTTCCAAGTGGTTTTCTCGGTTTGCTGACCAGGCCCACAGTTCGTCACTCTCTTGACAGCAATACCCTGCTTATCAACAATGGTACACTGTCTGGTGGTTAGTTCCTTAATTGAGTTGTAGATAAATCATGTCTAGTTACTGTTTCTCTATTTTAATATTAGGTTAATAATTAAATAGAGTTGGGGCAGTGTAGAGGACTTGAGCAGCAGCAGGTTTCCGTGGTTGCTTCCATTACATTTTACATTTAATTTTCCTGGTTTATGTCAATTTTACTACAACAACATCACCAGGGCTGGTTAGAGGAGCTGATGGCTGTCACTTGTGACATAGCCGTGACGTCACCGGGACTGGTTCTAGGAGCTGGTGGCTGTCTGTTGTGATATAGCCATGACATCACCAGGGTCATTCTAGGACATGGTGGCTGTTGATTGTGACATAGCCATGACATCACCAAGGCTGTTTCTAGGAGCCGCTGTCTGTTGGTTGTGACGTAGTTTTGAAGTTGGCCATTTTGTTATTCTAGTGTGTCTGTTCATTAAGAGCCCTTCCTGCTGTTACTCGTTGTATGTCATTGGCAGTTCTCATTAAAGGTTTCACATTTGCAGTTAGAGTGAGGAATACATTCAGACAAGTTACAGACTGCTTAATACGACTGACTTCGTAAATACTTCGCTTGTGCTTCAAGTTTCCCTAACAGGAACTTGTGCTTTCAGTTTATAGAGATGAACATTATGGGAAATGAAGTATTTTTGCTTAAATTTTACAGTGTTTATGTGTAAAACATTTTAAAGTGAGAAATGTGTTTTGATGTAAGCAGAAGATCAGAAGAAGAAATAAATGACAAGATGATGGATAACTTCAAGTGGGTTTGGGTGAGGCGATAAGGGTAGAAAAACATGGGATATAGAAGAGCAAATAGGACGTCCATCACATTATGCCTAACCATGTATGTAATATGCCCGGGTATTTTGTGTTAAACTTGTGTTTTATCTTTTCTTTCTCAGTCACATAGAAAAAATTACAACATGGCAAGATCCTCGAAAAACTATGAACCACCCGCTGAACCACATGAGCCACCATCCTGCCGCTCCCTCCGCACCAGTACCACAGAGGTCCATGGCGATGTCTCAGCCGAATCTTGGTGAGTACTGTGGCAAAATACAAAAGAGAGAGGAGAGCCACCTTTTACTAATTCGTTCCACTTTTTGGTAGGTATTTATATAGTGCTTGGCATACTGGTTCAGGTCTGTGGCCAAATTTTCTAAACATTAGCCCACTAGAAATAGCATGTAAAAATTTCCAGTGTCCATATTTATTTAATTGAGAAGATACTTTGTAAAAAATGTTTTGGTGAACCTTTTCTCATTCTGGTGGCTTTCGAAAGGCATGCTGTGACAGTTTGGGCACAAGCAAATGTGTTTGCACAGCTGAGGAGCACTTTTAGCACCATATTATTAAATTCAGCATCAGTCTCTGATTCTCCAGTCCACCTGTTTGAACACACCAAGTGTGACACTATTTTATTTAAAAATAGATTAAAAAGACTTAATCTAGAAGCTGTATATGTATACACAGAGAAATTACAAGGTTGTAGCAATCTGAACAGAATACAGTAGCCGCTGAATAATGCACGTGACAGTTTGAAGTACATGAGTGGAGTTTCCAGCACTAAAGTAGAATGTCTCTGGTTTGAGATTATCTTGGCCAAAAGGAAGGGCCTTTCTGCTCTTTTGTGATGCTAACAGTGTCACTGCCCAACCTGCTGTCTGGGGTCTGCGCAGACACTGAAGCGAGCAGTTAGTTGGTCTGGCAGTCGGACTGCTGTGCCAGAAGTGGTTGTGCCAACGTCTTACAGACATCAGAGGCGAAGTGGAAACTGGATACCAAGTTAAGCCGCTCTTCTGGCTGTAATTTTGTAACTTTTTAGCAAAAGAAGTCTACGCAGCTGTCTTTAGCCTTAACGTTTTTTGGTACTGTAGGGATTAAAAGAAGTTTTTCTTTTGAAGATGTGCCACTTAAAAGAAAAGGATTTAAGTATTCCAGGTCTGCATACTGGTCTGCACTTCCAATTACTAACACATGTGTTTTCCTTGCTACGCGTCTTATGAAGAGATGGAAAATCTGGTCTATTCCGTACAGACCGTTGCTTGGTTTATAAACTCCTTTCAGCAATATTTGCTGGGAAGTGTACAAAGGCACTCACAAACATTCTCGCAAAAGCACAGAGTGTGACTAAGTGATGCCAAATCATAATATGCCTGTGCCTGAGACATAGAGAAACTATAGTGAGAGTTGATTGAAATTATAGATATACCTTCAAAGTGTGCTGGTTTTCTCTACCTTTTGTCTTCCTGTGGTTTTATGTTGTGTGTTTATGAGCTACACATACTGGTTTTCTTACAGCTTCAGCAGTGTTAGTTTTCTCACTAACATTTAAAGCATTGCTTTTTAAATGTTCTGTAACAAAGGCGTCTGAAGGTATTTCTTCCTTTGAGGCATCTTCTTAAATTTCCACAGAACTAGTACATGCTGGGCAGGTTTCTACGCTCACTTACATACCACCGTTAAATTCAATGAAGGTTCATGAATTAAAAAGGAAATCTGTCTCAGAGATGGAAAGCATATTGTTGCAGGTTAGCATATATTCAGACTTGTTCGGTCTGCTTTTTGTAAGTATTTTACCTTTGTTGTTCTTCTAAGACAGTTTGTGGATGGATGTACTAAGGAAAGGACAACATTAACAGGAATCTTACAACTATGTATTTTGTTGTTGGAATGCAGCAGGGAATCTGGTGGGCCTCTGACTGAAGGCAACCAGAAGCACTATATTTCTTGCATCTTCATAAGTGCTTCATAAATCCCATTTACTTTGGTGCTGAATCTGCACATGTATTAGTTTTCTGTGCATTCTGAAGCATAGTCTTTTTCAGCTGATTGATAAAGTATTAAGTATCTGTTGCCAGTCAACTCCATTATTGTGGTAGAATCAAAGACCGTACGTGGAAGGAGGGGTATTTGTACGCCCTTATTTTAGGCATCTAACCTAGGTCCCTGAATGAGGAGACCGAGCTCCATGGGCTTCCTCTGAAGGAAAGGAAGGAGAGCGCAGTTGCGGTGCGCCTAAGCTAATGGTCACACTACTGCCTGACTTACATGACTAAATTGTTCTCTGGAAGGGCCTACGTCCAAGCTAGGGACGCTTTTCTGCCTTAATGGCAGCCACTGGTGTAAGAAGATTGTGGAGGATGGTTTTGGGCTACGTGTAGCAAGATTTAGGGGGAAAATTAGATCCTTACAAAAGTTTCTTTTGCAACAATTTTTAATTAAATGCTGCTTGTTTTGTAGTCTTTCTCTATTCTACATTATGCAACACTCAAAACCATTGTTATTTTCGTCCTGCTTCCTTCAAACTGTTTTGAAGAGATTTCTTTTGTGATTGTACTCTTCACCCAGTTGGTGAAGCACAATCTGGTCTTCATTTAAATGTTTTTCAAGTTTAACAGTTTGCAACTTATTTTGACATAAAATAGTCAAACCCTCTAATAGTATTTATGTTTTCTATATAAATTATCTCGAATTGATATGCATGAGTTCCTTACAAAGCTCGTATGAAAAGAACAGACTCTATCTACAAAACATCTCAGAGAGCCTTCCGGGCAGTGGCGTGCATGGTGGTGCAGTGGGATGTAGCACTTAGGCCTTGCAGCAAATACCCGTTGCAGACTGCGGGGCACAGTTGTTCTGGGTCCTGTGTTTTAAGTAGTGCCCAGAATTTGGTGGTTTGACAGTTTTGGGCACTCTACCGCTTTGTAAAATGCCTTTGAGTTTATTTGGGTGTGGGTAGGGGTTTTCAATTTATCTAACTAGCAACTGTGGTTAGAATGTGCTTTTGGTCTAACTAAAGTCCTAAAGTTGGGGGTTGGACTAGATGATCTCCAGAGGTCCCTTCCAGCCCTGACCATTCTGCAGTTCTGTGATTCTGTGAAAGTCGCCAAAGTCCAGCTGGGCTGGATGTCCCTGATGCTCCCTTATGCCTGGGTACCACTGTCATCTTTGCCTCTCTTCAGAGCGCACGTTCCAGCATCAGTGGTCACAGAGACACATACCTGCTCTTACCACTTTGCGTTTTCCACTTGTGGTACGCGAGAGAACTTGTGTGACTCATCAGGCTTCACAGAGGGCTAGGGTTGGTGGGTGGAAAGGCTTTTAAAAGCTGCAGTCATGTGTGAGCTGGCTGTCAGGGAAGAAGTGAGGAGGAGTGAGGCAAAGAGACGAGCAGAGCTATGTTTCTGTAGACCCCTTATGCATTAGAGCAGAGCCATCTGCTCTTACCCTGTCTGGCTTTTCCCTCATAACCTATTATTTTCCGTGTAAGTTTGGACAAGGTGATCTTTCGAGGTCCCTTCCAGTCTGGGCTGTTCTATGATGATGGTTGATAACTTGATAATTTTCTAACTTGTTAATTATTATCTTAGTGCACAGTGTCTATTGGCCCAGCTAATCCTCCCTTCAGAAAACATACCGGGATCACTCTTAATTCTGAACACCGACAGAGCACCTCATAACTATAAATTCTTCCAGGTTCTGTCAAGATTAATTCATTAATGTGTATATTTGCAGGGAAAAAAATCATAAAGATGGTTAACGTCATAATTCCTGAAGTTTCCAGTGTTCCCATATTCTATCTGCGTCTGGACCAGATTTTTTTAATCTACTTTTGTGCTGCTGCTTTTTTATCAGTTGTCTGCTAGTGGCACCCTCAGAGGGGTAGCATGAGAAACTGGATCATTCAGATGCACTGAATGGAGGGACAGCTGCTGGGAGGACAATAGTGATGTTATGAGCTTGCAAAGGTGAGGTGCCTGTTCTGATGTAAGGGAAGAAGCTAGATGAGTTTCCACACATGGCTGAGGGTTGAGGCTTTGCAAAATCTAAGGTTGTAGCCGTCACAGAATAATTCAGGTGGGAAGGGCCTTCAGAGATCTCTAACCCAAACTCCTGCTCAAAGTAGAGTCAGCTGTGAACCTACAGAGGGTGAAGCAAGGACAGGTAGCCTGGAAGGAATACAGAGGAACTGTCCGAGCAGGTGGGAATCAGGTTAGGAAAGCTGAAGCCAGGGACATCAAGGGCAATGAGAAAAGCTTCTATAGGTATGTCAGTGATAAAAGGAAGACCAGGGAAAATGTCGGCCCTCTCCAGAAGGAAAGGGGAGACCTGGTCACCCAGGACATGGACAAGGCTGAGGTACTCAAATGACTTTTTTGCCTCAGTCTTCACCAGCAGGTGCTCTAGCCACACCACCAAAGTTGCGGAAGGCAAAGGCAGGGACCAGGAAAATGAAGAGCTGCCCACTGTAGGAGAAGATTGGGTTCAAGACCACCTAAGGAACCTGAAGGTGCACAAGTCCATGGGACCTGATGAGATGCATCCAGGGGTCCTGAGGGAACTGGTGGATGAAGTTGCCATCATATTTGAGAAGTTGTGGCAGTCAGGTGAAGATCCCGCCAACAGGAAAAAGGGAACCATAACATCCATTTTTAAAAAGGGAAAAAAGGACAGCCCGGGGAACTACAGGCCCATCAGTCTCACCTGTATCCCTGGCAAGATCATGGAGCAGATCCTCTTGGAAACTCTGCTTAAGGCATGTGGAAAATAAGGAGGGGATTGGTGACAACCAACATGGCTTTGCTAAGGGCAAATTGTGCCTGGCAAATTTGGTGGCCTTCTACAGTGGCGTTACAGTGTTGGTGAGTAAGGGAAGAACAACTGACGTCATCCACCTGGACTTGTGCAAAGCATTTGACATGGTCCCACACAACATCCTAATTGGAGAGACATGGATTTGACGGATGGACCACTAAGGATAAGGAATTGGCTGAATGGTCGCACTCAAAGACTTGAGTCAACGCCTCGATGTCCAAGTGGCGCCCAGTGATGAGTGGTGTTCCTCAGGGGTTGGTATCGGGACCGGTGCTCTTTAACATCTGTATTGGCAACATGGATGTTGGGATTGAGTGCACCCTCAGCAAGTTTGCTGACGACACCAAGCTGTGTGGTACTGTCGACATGCTGGTGGGGAGGGATGCTATTCAGAGGGACCTGGACAGGCTGGAGAGGTGGGTCCATGTGAACCTCATGAAG